CAGAGGGTGTTTTTTTCCTTAGCCAAGGGCGGTGCCTTGGCGAGGCAGGGGGTGACGCTCATTTCCCTTTGATGGAGGCCTTCCTGAATTGCCCCTTCCCACACGGACAAGGAGTCTCTCGAAGCTCAAGAGGGCCCTTGATGAATCGGCCCTAGGAGGCCCCCGGGCAGGTTCGAAGGTGGGCCGGGCCGCCGAGCGCAATGGTGACCCCCTGGCTATTCTTCCTCCAGAGTGAAGAGCGTCACCGAGATCTGCACTCCTACAAGAAGTTTGGCTACAGACCATCGTCATGGCCGCTTCCCTTCCGCAACACGGGCGAGATCAAGGCGCTGGCAGGCTGCGACTTCCTCACCATCTCGCCCAAGCTCCTGGGGGAGCTGCTCAAGGACAGCAGCAAGCTGGTGCCCACGCTGTCGGCCAAGGCGGGTGAGGCCCAGCCCCTGCCGGGCTGCCTGCACCTCGGCTCCCTGGGGGGTGGGGACAGGGCAGGGAGGGCACAGGGGGCGGGGTGGCGGGTCGGGCGGGTGAGGAGGGCCTGCTGCCTGTTCCAGCCCAGGCCAGCGACCTGGAGAAGATCCACCTGGACGAGAAGGCCTTCCGCTGGCTGCACAACGAGGACCAGATGGCCGTGGAGAAGCTCTCGGACGGCATCCGCAAGTTCGCTGCCGACGCGGTGAAGCTGGAGCGGGTGCTGGCGGTGAGTGCCGGGGGAGCGGGCAGAGCTGGCACTTCTAGGGGCCCTGGGTGTGCCGCCCGGTCCCCATCGGCGGTGTGGACCCACAGAGGGAGCCTGACCGCCTCTCCTGGCCCCTCCCTCTCCCCCTGTAGGACCGAATGTTCAGCGCGGAGAATGGAAAGTAGCCTGAGGCCCGGCCACAGATCAGTGCGGGCTTTGGATTTGGGTCTGATTACACAAGTCCGGCGACGAATCTTTCATTTTTTACTACTTGCAGCAGGGACGGATCATGGGTTTCTGATTTTGTGTAAAATTCTGCCTAATGCATTAAAGCAGGTGTTTTCTGTGCCAAGCTTCATTTCCTGACACCTCGTGCCCCTCGGCACCAGCTACAACCTGGGCCCAGCCGAGAGGGGGCAGCACTGCCCGCTGCTGGGTGGGGACCCATCTGACCTCTTCCTGTGCCCAGATCCCTTGATGGGGCCAAGGGCTGTGCTGGGCCCCCTGGGCTGTGCGCATGCCACTACCTGCTGCCTCTTGTGGCTCCTTGAACTGAGGCCCTGACCAGGCGGGCAGGTCAGTGGTGCCACCTGGTGGGGCAGCTCAGCACAGCAGCACTAGTTCATCTAACCCGGGAGGTCCTGGCTGCGCCCCTGAACCTGGAGGGGTGGTGCAGCTCTGAGAACACACTAGGGCACTGTTTGGACTTGGGGCACCATGTGCTGTGCTGGGAAGGGCCTGGGGCGGTGATGGGTGGAGGGAGGAGGAAGGACCAGCCTCTGTTCCTGGAGGGGAGCCAGGCAGGGCGAGGGCTGGGCGAGGACTCTGTCCAGGAGCCAGTGCCCAGGGAGCAGGATCAGGGGGCGTGTCTCCCGTCTGGCCCGTCTGTCGGGTGTGGGCAGAAATGTGTCAGGGACTGACCTGCGGAGACACTGCTCTGGCGACACCCAAGGGTCAGCAGGGAGCCGCCTTGCCCTCCCCACCTGGGCTTGCTTTCCCTTTGGGAACCCGACTGGTCACCTTTCCCCACAGCCTTCCCCGGGGACCCCGGGACGGGCCACTGCAAGCTGCCGAGGCTGAGTCCCACGTGCTCCAAAGCAGCAGGGCCCGTGGCTGCAGTTCTCAGGGCCCAGGGACGGGCCCCCCCGGGGCCTCGCCGTCCTGAGTGCCCGGCCTGTCCTGGACAAGCTCAGCCGTCCTGGGTGCTGAGGGCCTGCTGGGTGGGTGTCCAGCAGTGGGGGCAGGGGGAATGCCCCCACCCAGACCCCCCCCCTCCTGGTGCCTCCCAGCCCTGGGGTCCGCATGGACGTCTGACAGGGCGGTTTCAGTACTTGGGGTGTGACAGTCAGCACTCAGCTCAGAAGTCCCCCCAAAACAGCACGTCCACGTGCCCCATTCCCGCCACAACCGAGCCGCTGGGACAGGATCTCCCGCAAACGGGACCACGCGGCCGTTTCTTCACTCAGCATGTTCTCCCGTCCACCACGTAGGGTGTCCTCAGGACTTCATTGTGTGTTTTTTTAAAGGACATTTTTATTGATTTCAGAGAGGAAGGGAGAGGGAGACGGAAACATCACTGATGACAGAATCACTGATCGGCTGCCTCCTGCAGGCCCCACATGGGATTGAGCCCACCTCCCAGGCATGTGCCCCGACCGGGAACTGAACCCACTGAGCCACACCGGCTGGGCAGGACTTCATTCTTTCACGGCAAATGTCCCACCACATGGCGATCACGCTGCCCCTTAACAAGATGCCACGCATGGGGCCAGTCTGTCCATTCATTCCTGAGAACGCTGCTGCAGGTGTCCTGGGCGAGTGGGGAACCCCAGAGGCAAGGACGGGAAGCCAGGCTCCAAACCCGCCCCTGCCCCTCCTGGGGCTTTCTGGTTCCTCCTCCCACCCCTCCCGGGCCGAGCTGCAGGGAGCAGAGCCTCGGCCCAGGGGACGCCCCGACCGGAGCAGAGTAGACGTGCCGGTCAGAACCCTCAGCAGGAACGGTCAGCTTTACGGGGACACAGACAATGCCCTTGAGGTGGGTCTGTCCGGGTTTGTGCAGACAGCCACCCGTCACCATGTGGTGGCACCTGGGGATGGGGCTGACACCAGGCCGTCGCCTTCCGGGAAATGCTGACAGGAATGTGGAGTGTGAGCTGGTCGGGGGCCGGGAGGAAGCGCCGGGCCTGGGGGCCGACTTGCTTGTTCCCAGGGGCTGGAAGCAGCAGACGCAGCTCCAGAGGGGACCCCAACCACAGGCCACAGCCCAGCCAGGCGCCCGGGGAAGCCTGAGGGTGGTCAGGCTGTGCTGGGAGGGAGGCGTCCGGACAGCCGCCCGGCGTCCCCAGCAGAGGCCTGTCCAGGGCCTCCTTCCAAGGGAGCTCCTGTTTGCTATGTCCACCCTGACACCCTCAGAGCAGCCGCAGGGTGGGGCCTGTGCAGCGCTGTCTAAGGAGCCCCTGGGCTGTGTTTGAAGGTCAAAGGTCAACAGCGTTTCCACGTCAGGGATGCGGTGCCATGCCGTCTGCCCTGAGGTCCACCCGGGCCTGACATGGGTCACCACCACACTGAACCCACACAAGAGGCAAAGTTAAAATCGGGGCAAGTCTGGGGGCCTGGAGCTGTGACCACAAGATTAATTCCCCTTCACCTGGGACCCAAGTCAAAAGTGCTGACCAAGCTCCAGCCAGCGGGCCCCTCCCCACTCAGCCAACACCCGGAGGCTGGGGGACAGACCGGCCTGGGCACGGCCCTCACCGCACAGGTACCGACTCCGGTACCCTAGCCTGTCACTGCTGGCCGGCGTGATCATCCTGGCTCCCCG